TGACGTATCATTAGCTAACTTCCAAAAGTGACTCAAAGATAATCATTATTTCTTTTAGTAAACAGGAGTTACAAATGAAAGAATTTAAATATTAGTAATATTCTTCATTCTCTTGTTTGGACCTTTTGTTTAGTAGATAGGAAAACTGTGTTTTCAAAGTTAAATAAGCCCGGCCAGTGTGGCTTAGTGGTTGAGCATCAATCTATGAACCAGGAGGTTGCAGTTCGATTCCAAGTCAGGGAACATGCCCGGGTTAGGGGCTCTATCCCCAGTGTATAGTGTGCAGGAGGTGGTTGATCAATGATGTTTCCATCTCTCTCTCCCTCTCCCTTCCTCTCTGAAATCAATTAAAATCACCTTACTACTGGGAATGCCATTGAAAATTTATGATTTGTTGTAAAATTTGGGAGAATCAATACCGACTTTCTTTCATATAGGATTTGTAAGATTTCAGGGCATTTCAAGTTTTCTTATGCCATAGCTGATCCTAAATACTTTTGAATTGATGATATGCTGTGATTCTGTGCTATTAGTTTTATGCAATTTTTAGTATCATCAGTATTCACAGTTTACAACACCTCCATTCCTGGAGGGGAGGCCCTGCTCCAGTTCCTATTTCACAGCGTGAGATTGGATCTGACTCTCCGCTGTGCTTTTGGTTCCTGCTGGCCAGCTCTGCCCCGCCCGAAGGAGACCCATCCAAAGCTTTATCAAATTGCTTGATTTAACTTCGACAGAAGGACCCCTGGGTGATGTTTAGTTCTCTGTTAGATCTGGATAATAGCTCCACATGGTTGGATGAATTGCTGCTAGATGATGTTTGATACCCTAATATACCTCCAATACCCTACTATAGAATGGCCAAAAAGGAAAGAATCTATCTATCTATCTATCTATCTATCTATCTATCTATCTATCATCTATATAAAAGCCTAATATGCAAAATGTCCCCCTCGGGAGTTTGACCGACCTGGAGTTTGATTGCTCACTATGATGTGTGCTGACCATCAGGAGGTGGCTTGGAATGAAGGAAGGCCCCTGCTGGCAGCCAGCAACCACTAGGGACCCTACCTGTGCACAAATTTCGTGCACTGAGCCTCTAGTAACTACAATAACAACAACTTAAACTCATTTAGAATAAGGCAACATAGGAAACATTACACAGCAGCTATGGTTCCATAGCACATGTTTCTCAACAGGCAGGAATAACAAGTTTCCTTTTCCTTGACAGAAGTGTGAGCTCCTGGGTCAGTCACTCTGGCTACCAATGGAGTATTTGGCCCTTGTCCATTGGCAAATGTGGCCATATTTAAAAAGGCTTTGAAGAGGAAGTTCTTGTGGGGGCTGTATCAATTTCAAGCCCATTTGATATCTCATGGGTTTAGGAGTCTGAGGTTGGCTTTAATGCCCAAGTAATCACAAGCTCTTATTGTTGGCCAGGCATGCGTTCTCTGGAAATACACCCATCTTTCCCTACCCAGCACTGAGCATTCAAAGCAAAGACAAGGGGTCAAACCTGAGAGCTTAATGGGGCCTTTGAAAAAATGTTTTCAATCATATTTCCATTTGCTTAACTCCTAGGTCAAGTAACCAGGGATTAGTTAGTCTTTAACTCCACAATCCTGAGAATGTCTTTCTTCTAAAAATAGGATGGGGCTCTGCCCGTCCCTCAGTCCTCAGTTGAACTTGGGTTCTGCCTCCTTGTTCTATCACATGCCGTGAGGGCTAAGCTTGGTCCTCTTTAGACTCAGCTTTCACAGGGACCCATCTCAACCGAAGCTCTCCTACTTCTTACTGAAATTTGACTTAAGGTTGAAAGACAAAAAAAGGGCAAATAAATGCAAGAAACAAATACAAAAAAACAGGTCAAGAGTCCAGCCTAGAAGAAATAGAGTAGTTTTCTCTCTTTTGATTCCATCTTTATCGCAGGGAAGAGGGCATTACTAAAAGGAGATTGCCTAACCCCGTGGTCGGCAAACCGCGGCTCGCGAGCCACATGCGGCTCTTTGGCCCCTTGAGTGTGGCTCTTCCATAAAATACCACGTGCAGGCGCGCACGTACAGTGCGATTGAAACTTCGTGGCCCATGTGCAGAAGTCGGTATTTTGTGGAAGAGCCACACTCAAGGGGCCAAAGAGCCGCATGTGGCTCACGAGCCACAGTTTGCCGAGCCGCAGTTTGCTGACCACTGGCCTAACCATGCGGGTGGAGGAAATGGCCTGCAGTGAGGCTGTGACAAGCTTCTCAAATAGTGAAAGAAACAGGGGCTTTGGTGTCAGGGTGACCTGGCTTAGACCCCTGGGCCTCACCCACTACCCGGGCAAGTCCCCTCCTAGCCCCTCCTAGTCACTGAGCCTCAGGTGTATCATCTACCCATCTCAGGATTGTTGCAAGGATTAACTGATTTGGGGTGTCAAAAAGAACCTGTCAACCTTCATAACAAACAGTGGGCACCAGTTCATCTGTTTGACCCTTGGCCCCAAGTTGCCCCATGAGGAATCTGTCTGTTAGAAAAGAGAGTGCACTGAAGTTTGTCAAATATTTAGAAATTTTTCCTACCCAGCACTGAGCATTCAAAGCGAAGACGAGGGGTCAAACCTGAGAGCTTAATGGGGCCTCTGAGAAGATGCAGACGTCTACTTTAGGACTTAAAAGTGCCCGTTTTATTATTCATCATTTCTCATAGCCTCTCTCTCAGGCCACCATTTTGAAATCCTGTTTCATACAGACAATACTTCTACTTTTTGCTCAGCCACATTCCATGCGTGTAACATGAGTGGCCTGTGAAACAAGCTGCCTCGACTGAGACTAGCCAGCGGCAGCAAGTGGACGAAAGTAGGAGGTGGATGGGAGTGGGGGAGGGACAGACTGGATGCCTGACTTTTAAGGCTGGTATGAGGAATGTCTGGCCAGTGTGGGAGTTTTATGCATAAGAGAAGGGAACTTTGCGATTCAGTTTCTAGGAATTTAAGCTACGGGAAGACATAAAAAAGTACACAGAGTTGTTCACCCAGGATATCCGTGACAGCACTGCTTGTAAACACATTGGAGGCCACCTAACTGGTGGGATTTAGGATGATTTTTGGTTTTGGTTAAGTTTATATGATTTTCTCTGTTTTCCAAAGCATTTGAAATGAGTATATGTGGCTTTTACAAAACCCAGCAAATTAATGTCCATTTTGACTTTTTAAAAGCGAGCTTTTGGTGAGATTAAGAAACTTCTTGAAAGATTTTACTTCTTTCTTTTCAAGAAAGTTATCTGGAAGAATCATTGTCTGGAAGTATCCCTACCATTTAGCATTTAGCATAACACGTTGGCAGATTTTCAAGTAAAAAAAAAAAGCAGCATTCTGCATGGTACCTTAGTGCACACATATTTGACAATTGCAGTGAGATTGGTACAGGCCACAGCGCTCAGCTGTGCACTGGGCCTCTAGTAACTACAATAACAACAACTTAAACTCATTTAGAATAAGGCAACATAGGAAACATTACACAGCAGCTATGGTTCCATAGCACATGTTTCTCAACGGGCAGGAATAACTAGAGGCCCAAGTGCACACCTGAGCGCTGTGGCCTGTACCAATCTCACTGCAATTGTCGAATATGTGTGCACCAAGATACCCTGCAGAATGCTGCTTTTTTTTTTTTTACTAGAGGCCCTGTATCAATCTCACTGACAATTGCAGTGAGATTGGTACAGGCCACAGCGCTCAGGTGAGACAGTGCGGGTCCTCCCAAACCAAAGGGCATTGGTGAGATGGCAAGATCCGGCCTGGAGGCCACTCTGTGGGGAGGTGGGCTGGACACAGAACTGTCATGGAGAGTTGACTGAAGAGAGGAAGTCCCACTTCCCAGGGCTGCAGAGTTCCATCCGGGAAGTGAAGAGTTTCGAGTCTCTCCAGGGGCCCCGCAGGGCATTCAAAGTGGAGGAGAAAGCTGCCCCAGGGGTTTTTCTTAGGACAGAAATATGTGCCTGATTCCACTGTTCTCACCTTGAGGTCTAAGACACAAGACGGTGGTTGGTAGTGGCAGCTGTGGCCACTATGGTGGTAGGATGACCAACTCCCTTGGTTTGCCTGGGACTTCCCCATTCTAGTGGCGCAAGTCCCACATTGAACCCCGGGAACCCCTCAGTCCCAGGCAAAACCAGATGGATGGTTGCTCTCCTTAGATGGTGGGCACATCAGCAGTGATCAGGGGAGGTACCAGGATGGGCAGCAAAAGATTGTGAAGGCCATGGCAACCAAACGAGAGAAGATGGCAGTTGCCATAGTGACAGGGATGGGGTCTATTAGAAGAGATGTTAGGATACAGTGATGCCATTGGTAACATGGAGCTGGGCTCCAAGTTATAAGCAGTGCCGACAGCTCCAGCAACAAGGAAGGGGTTTCCAGTTTTCCACTCTTGTCACCAGGAGATTGAAGGCATTGGGATGGAGGTGGAAGGCTGGTACTGGTGGCTAGGATTCCAGAAACTGCATTCATGGAGGCCACATATTCTTATTATTCTTATCTGCCTCTGTCTCTCCAGTTGTCCTCCCCCACAGGAACTGGAGAGCACTAGCTGGTTCTTTGCAGAGTTTATCTGGTTTTACTGGTCTTTTTGGGGCTAGAGTCACCTTTAGGTCATGTACACATTATCACTTATCTTTCTTGTTCATGGCCCTGTGTAACAAAACAAACAAGAAATCCCTAGCATTTAAAAAAGTCCCTCCCCCCCACCTCCCTCCCTCCCTCCCTCCCTTCTTCTTCTTTCTTTCTTTCTTTCTTTCTCTCTCTCTCTCTCTCTCTCTCTCTCTCTCTCTCTCTCTCTCTCTCTCTCTCCCTCTCCCTCTCCCTCTCTCTTTCTTTCTGTTGCCAGGCAATGGAGTACACCTTAGAGAATAATTCACTGAGTCGTTTTGCCAATGGGGATAAGTCAAGGGTTGGTAACTGCTCCAAAGTAAACATTGAAAACTAGCACTTGGGTAGAAAACAAATCCACAGGCTCTTTGCTGGTTAAAACTAGGTCCCTGGTTCACTGGTGGGAAAACAGGTTCTAGTTAGATGCTCTGAGGGCCTCGCATACCTGGGGCACTCGAAGTTCATGGTCTTAACCAACTGCAGTGGCCGAGAACAGGTTTTGCAATGTTCCGTTTTGCTGTCTCCCAGGTAAGTGGCTCTAAGTAGGAATTTCTCTGAGTAGAAAGGTCTCCTATAGCCAGGCTTTGCTTCCTCCGCTCTCCATGTTAGGCCCCTGCTGCAGCCACCATTCCCTGGGCCTTGCTGCAGCAAATAGTACTTCCCTCAGCATTTCCGAGTTGAGATCGAGTCTTGATCACCATTTCCTCCCCCTTTTTATTTGGTTAATAACATCACATAGGTTTCAAGTGTAGATTTCTATGATTTGTATATTGTTGCATTGTGTGCCCACTACCCAAAGTCAAACCACCTTCCATCACTATATATTTGTCCCCCCCCCACATTAATTGCCATTTCTGTTTTTCTGTCCTCCCTCCTTCCCTCCCTCCCTCCCCCCTCTCCTTCCCTCCCCACCGTTTTTCCCTAATGAGGGCAGCTCTGTAATCTCCATCAGCTCACCACCATCTCTTCAGTTCCTTCTATTCCTTTACAGCCCAGCCCCCACAGCTAAAGCTGTCTTCACAGCCAGTGTGTGGCTTGGGGCTCTCTTAGGGAGGCGTAGCCTTGCTCCCCAGATCTTTGTTTCTTTAGATCCACAAGAGTATAACACGCCTGGCCAGCGTGGCTCAGTGGTTGAGCATTGACCTAGGAACCAGGAGGTCAACATTCGGTTCAGGTCAGGGCACATGCCTGGGTTGCAGTCTTGGTCCCGGGGGTGGGGTTGGGGGTGTGTGTGTGCAAGAGGCAGCCAATCAATGATTCTCGCTCATCATTGATGTTTCTATCTATCTCTTCCTTTCCCTTCCTTTCTGAAATCAATAAAACATACTTTTTTAAAGAGTATAACATACTAGCACATCTGCATTTTTCTATGATTCAGCGTCCCTGGCTCCACATTCACAAATTTCGAATGCTCTGGAGGGAAGGGATGTTCGCTACAACATTGTCAACAATGACAATGCTTCAATGTACTTTTCATTCCCTAGATATAGTCACGAACAGAGGCAAGCGGCCGGCTGAAGTGGTTGGGCGTGGAATGTTTGGGCCATGGGGCATGGTGTCGGGAAGGCTCCCGCATGTCTGTACTCATACTTGTTTTCTCCTTTTCAGCTTCTATCTTTGAAAGTGTGCTGTTCTTTTTCTTTTCTTTTTTTTTTTAAACACTGGCATGGAACAAATAGAACTTTGACTTTGGTTTCACAATTTACATGGCTGATTTCATAAACTACCATGTTTCACATTGCATAATGTTCTCACAGTTTACAAGTAATTTTTTTTTTCATTTTTAGGGCATAGGGCTTTCACGTTGGTATGCTTGGAGGGGCAAAGAGTAAAATACTGGAGGGGAATCTGATGTACGGGGATATGCACTTTCCTGGTACAAACCACACACCTCCTCCCCTGCCCCCACAGTTTATGTTGAATGGCCGGTCTAGGCAGCCTGTGGTGAGCCTTCTCCCAACAGGGATGCTGCCCGGGGGTTCACTGTGGTGTGACAGATTTTTGGCACCTTTTGCTCATCTTGGGCTTCTGCTGCCTCAGCCCCATTCAGCCATCATGGTACTTTCCTTCGTTCAAGGTTTACTTTATGATTTGATTTTTGCTAGAGACCCTTGGATATCAGGAGCTCAGACTGCCTAAGAAATGCGTGTTGTTGTAAGTACTATGCTTTTCTCATGCTTAATTAACTTCAGACATAGACTTGTGTGGTAAGGGTTCCTGTCAATAGAACAACAAATAGGATAATCTCTAAACCACATGATCCAACAGCAAGATAGGTCATTGTTCTAAACACCATCAAAGGCGGTCATAAAATTGGTACCTATTTTGAAGATAATATCCAATATTTACTAAACTAATATCAACTAATTATGCAGTAATAAACAAGCCAGGAACAAACATTCCTTACCCCGGGATAATAATATGAAGTAAGCTTACAATGCTTTTTGTCAGATAGCCTCAGGGTTTCATAAATGGGAATATGTTAAACTTTGTTATATATTTGAGAATTAAGAAAAGTCATTTCTCTGTATAGCCTGATTGTCTAACTGAGTTTATATCTTCTTATTTTTAACTTCTGTCTTTGTGTCTTAAAATTGTTCCTACAGCCCTACCAGTTTGGCTCAGTGTATAGAGCGTCGGCCTGCGAACTGAAAGGTCCCAGGTTCGATTCCGGTCAAGGGCATGTACCTGGGTTGCGGGCACATCCCCAGTAGGAGGTGTGCAGGAGGCAGCTGATGGATGTTTCTCTCTCATTGATGTTTCTATCTATCTCCCTTCCTCTCTGTAAAAAAATCAATAAAATATATATATTTTTAAAAATTGTTCCTACAAAAAATCACACAAATCCTACAAAAAAGGCAAAGTTATGATGACGTAGGTGAAGTTTGAATTCAGTGGCTTCTACCTCCTCAGGTTTCTTTTCCTTGTTCCTGCTACTACTTCACTCCCTTATGCAGCCTAAACTGGGCCCCATTCAGGCTTTGTCTGAAGAACACCATAGAAAAAGAGTAAACCCCATTACGATTCCAAGGAAAATGGCAAGAAAGCACCAAATCAAAAAGCATAAGGAGAATATGAACAGGTATAAGCTAAGTGTACTGCTTAAGAAACAAGAATTTGAGAGAAAAGCTCAAAGACTCTACAAAAAGAAGAAAATAAAAATGTTCAAAATATTGAGCAAAAAGACTAAAAAGGGCCAACCAAACTTGAATTTACAAATGAAGAACCTTTTTAAAACATATTTAAAAAAAATAAATCAGACATTTTGTGCTTAATCAAGGGTTAAACTACCTGCTGTCTGTTGAGTTCTTTGGCATATGTAATGCATGTCCTCACAACTAAAGTTGTCAGTGTAAACTGGATCACTAAGCTATACTACATATAAAACACCCAAATATTTTTGCTCTTGTAAAAGACAATTTTCTATATACGCCCTACACAATATAACGTGTCTCTCATTTATTTGCCTCTGAAGGGAGGTTGGCCTGAGAATGGAAAGAACCTTCTACTAGTAGCTAGGTGACAGGTTCAAGTGGGTAACACTTTTGTATCACATGAAATTCAGGTGGAAGAAAATGTTTTGAAAATTTAAAAGAAGCAGGACACAAAATTACATATTTGTTATGACTGTCTCTCTAACACACACACACACACACACACACACACACACACACTACATACGCGCGAGAGAACATATTGGTTAAGAAAGATATCTATTACCACAATAGATGATTATTTATTATATATACCAGTGGCCCAGTGCACGAAATTTGCACACTTGGTGGGAGTGGGTCCCCCCGAGCCTGGCCTGTGCCTGTCACAGTGCGGGAGCTCCGCGATCCATCGCTCCAAAGAGGTAGGCCCTGCCCACCCATCCGGGGCTCCTCGATGGATTGTCCCAAAGAGGTAGGCCGGAGCCAGGGGAGGCCTGCGGACCTCCAGTGCAGGCATGTGGAGAGGCCTCTGCTGCGCCTTGCCGCTGTCCCGATGCTGTAAGTCCCTGCCCACTCACACCTGCTGCGCACGCAGCCTCCAGCTGATCGGTCGTTACACGTGAGGGCGTCCCGACTATTTGCATATTACCCTTTTATTAGTATAGATTATTCTGTATTTTCCAAGCTTCCACTAGTAAGCATACATTCCTTTTAAAAAAAAAATAAAAAAGAAGTTAAGGTACTAACAAATTCTAAGTTCTTGTTTCTGTGTTTACTTTTTCTCAAATGCCCAGGTCAAATGGCATAGAACATTCGGCCTAGGGGAGAGAAGGCACATGTATCCGTCCCCCTCTGTTCTCCCCACCCCCCCTCCCCCATCCCCCAGGACAGTTCCAACTATGGCCATTACCAGACCCCAAGGGACATCTGGCCTACCTTCTTCTAAATAATTGTTCTTATTAAAGTAGGACTAAGATGTGAAGATACGGTAAAGTAAGATAGCTCAGCAGAGGGTTCATGCCACTGCTGCACCTTTAAATGCAAATGCCACCTCCTTCTCCTGCCTCCTCAGGCCCAGTCACAGTGGTTGAATCAGACAGCTGTGGTGGCATCCACCTGCCCTTTCCTAAGGGCTTCTGAGTGGCAACACGCCTCTCTCTCTTTGACATTGTGTTCTTTTTTCCTCCCTCCTCCTGACTTTATCTCACAGGGACATTGGGAAGAGAATAAAATTGAATTACATAGAACATTCTCAGCTCCTCTGAGGGTGAATGGAATCTGAACAGAAATAAGAAATTATCTAGGTTTCTGTTGCCCCTCATTCTGCTTTATATACCTGTCATTCAACAAGACTTAGTTCATTCTCTCCATTTTTTTTTCTTCCAAATGGTGGTGAAAGATAATTTGTCTCTAAAGGTTCCTAGTTGACTACCCAACCTTTTCTCTTAAACATTTATTATATGGCCTACTTTGTAAGCTTAGTTTTAGGTTTAGTGATATCAAGATTAATATTATCTTTTGTACCAGTACATTTTGTTTTATTAGGTTCTGAACAGAGAACAGAATTTTCTAAATAACAATTCCATTTAACACCAACAAAAATACTTATGTGTTTATATTAATAAAATATAAATATCTGGGACCAAATTTGTTTACTGAACCAATCATTTGGAATTGCCTTTAGAAGTTAAACAAATATGGTTTAATGTATTTTTAAACTAGGGCTGATTTTTAGAAGTGTTTACATTTTTTTTTAATTAAATCTTTATTGTTCAGATTATTACATTTGTTCCTCTTTTTTCCCCCCATAACTCCCCTCCTCCCAGTTCCCGCCCCACCCTCTGCCCTCACTCCCCACCCACTGTCCTCTTCCATAGGTGCACGATTTTTGTCCAGTCTCTTTCCGCATCTCCCACACACCTTTCCCCCCCAAGAATAGTCAGTCCATTCCCTTTCTATGTCCCTGATTCTATTATGATCACCAGATTATTTATTCACTTGATTCTTAGATTCACTTGTTGATAGATGCATATTTGTTGTTCATAATTTGTATCTTTACCTTTTTCTTCTTCTTCCTGTTCTTAAAGGATATCTTTCAGCATTTCATATAATACTGGTTTGGTGGTGATGAACTCCTTTAGCTTTTCCTTATCTGTGAAGCTCTTTATCTGACCTTCAATTCTGAATGATAGCTTTGCTGGATAAAGTAGTCTTGGTTGTAGGTTCTTGGTATTCATCACTTTGAATATTTCTTGCCACTCCCTTCTGGCCTGCAAAGTTTCTGTTGAGAAATCAGCTGACAGTCGTATGGGTATTCCCTTGTAGGTAACTGGGTTTCTTTCTCTTGCTGCTTTTAAGATTCTCTCTTTGTCTTTTGCTCTTGGCATTTTAATTATGATGTGTCTTGGTGTGGCCCTCTTTGGATTCCTTTTGTTTGGGGTTCTCTGCGCTTCCTGGACCTGTAAGTCTATTTCTTTCACCAGGTGGGGGAAGTTTTCTGTCATTATTTCTTCAAATAGGTTTTCAATATCTTGCTCTCTCTCATCTTCTGGCACCCCTATAATTCTGATGTTGGTACGCTTGAAGCTGTCCCAGAGGCTCCTTACACTATCTTCGTATTTTCGGATTCTTTTTTCATTTTGCTTTTCCAGTTGGGTGTTTTTTGCTTCTTTGTGTTTTGAATCTTTGACTTGATTCTTGCGCTCCTCTGGTCTGCTGTTGGGTGTCTGTATAATATTCTTTATTTCAGTCAGTGTATGCTTAATTTCTAGTTGGTTCTTTATCATAACATCGAGGGTCTCATTAGATTTCTTGAGGATCTCACTACATTTATCGGCGGTCTCACCAGTCTTTTCGAGGGCCTTACTAAGTTTATCGGCAGCTTCTAGACAGTTCTTGAGAGACCTTAAAAGTGTGGTTTTGAGCTCTATATCTTCCATTTCTGACATTTGCGTCCTGTTTCTTTGTCTCCGCATTTTTTTATCTTTTCTTGGTGCACCCACTGGTGGTCTTTGTGCGCAGTCTTGTAGTTAAGCCTTGATTGTTGTCGGTAATACCAGGGGTGATTTGACCTCCAGGCTAACTGGCTATGAGAGTCAGCTGTGTCTGCAGTGGGAGAGCTTCTGTGCTGGATCTCTAGGGCGGTGCTAATCTAGTCTTTGCCTGAGGCTATCCGGCAAATGGGCAGGGCTTGGGCGGGGCGGGTCCCCGGGGATCTACAGGGCAGGGCCGGAGCGAGCAGTTATGGCTGCTCTCAGTTCCGTCCCTAGGGGCTCTGCCTCTCAGAGTCCCAGCAACTGCTGCAAACCTCGGAGAGAAAGGTGCCTTCGAGTTCTGACCGAAGCCAGACAGTCCCGCTTCTCCCGTTTGAGTCTGGGTCCCTAGAGACTCGCCCGGATCTGGAGCTCAGAGTCTGAAACTCGCTCCCGATTGAAAACAACAACGAGCCCTCCGCCGCCAGCCCACTCCGCGCGCGCACTCCGCACCTGAGTATTTCACTTCAGCACTGCGCCTCCTCTGAGTCTGGGTATGATATTCTCTTTCCTCCTAGTTGTAGAATTTCCACTCAGCCAGCCTTCCTGTGGCTCTGGATGATGTCTGTTCTGTCCTTTAGTTATATCTCTGAAGTGGTTGTTTGAGGCAGCAATCTCCGGCGTTAACCTATGCCGCCATCTTGGTTTCTCTAAAACTACTATAGAGGAACTATAACTTCAAACTGGAACTCCAACATTAACACATTATATGATCTTGGAACAGGTGCTTGACCTCTTTGAGCCTCCTTTTCCTCACTGCCTGGGGATGCTCGGCAGCGTAGTTGTCCTGGAGGCGGCGGCCGCTACCTGCACCGAGACCAAAGCCCGGTGGCGGCGGCAGCGGTGGCAGCGGTGGCGGGCGGCGGCGGATCTAGAAGTGTTTACATTTAAACTATATGGAAATTATAGTCATAGAGCCAATGAATAGAATTCTACCTATGAAGCCATTATAAATTCATTGTCATTACTTGTAAGCACATGCCTTATTTCAACATACAAGATATGACATGATCTGAGTGTCTTGCTCTCCATTTCTCATTCGCTGAAAATAATTCCTCAGGAACCCAAACCAACAGTAATGGAAACAGAGAAAACAAATAAAACACAGGACAATCTATAATAATACAAGTGTAATATGCTAATTAGACTGGACTTCCTTCCAGCCAGGGCTGCGAGGGAAGCCCAGGTC